ATATGTTTCATTTAATTTTATTCATTTTTCTGCTTTGAAGTGGACAAAAATAGAAAGAGATTGGGGTTTTTTTTCAACTAATGAGTGCAAGTTATGGTTTCCAATTTTTCGAAATTTTAATCTTACAATTTCTTTTTTTATTCTTTCGAAATCGAATGACTGGTGCAATATGGGATTGAAAGATTTAAAATTAGAAATTAAGTATATTTCTTCCTAATTTCATTCTCTTTCCTTTTCTTTGCAAATTTTTTTTAATTAACACTTTTTTTCATTTCGGACTTTAAACTTGCTGCATTTTGAAATTCGAAATTGCAATTCGAAATTGAAATTGCATTGCAAAAAAAGAAAAAAAAACTACCAAATGTAATTAATTCGATGATAACTAATGTGAATAATGTCATTATTAAGCAAAAAAAAAAAAAACTTTTAAGATGCGATAATGAAATGCTTTTTAAAAGGTAAACAATTTTAAAAATATTTATTATTATTTTTTCACTTATTATTTTATTTTTTACTTTCCATAATAAAATTTTAGAATTGCTTGTTTGGATTAAAACTTATACACTCAACAAGGTGATTGTTGCCATCTGCTTTTATGAAATTATCAAACTGTAAGAAATGAAAAATCAAAAATTAAACTTTCATCGAATGATAGGTATGAAAGGACGGCGCAAATGGCTTCAATTGGAAATACAAAGTGAACCTTTTCAATTCGAAAAGATTCACTTTGTATTTTAATATAAAATATTGCAAATAACAGATTAAAAGAAATATAACAGGATAAATTTCATACGTTTCACTCAAAATCGATCAAACAATTTTAGCCCATTATGAAAAATGTCATTTAATTAAATAAATGAATTAAAAATAATTAAATAAATGAATAAATAGATAGGCAAAAAAATGTTAAATTAAAAAAAAAAATTCCATTTTCGGTTAAAAGGATTCGTAAAATTATGCCATCATAAGTAAAAAAATCAAATAATTTAAACCAACATATTAGTAAATAAGTAAGGAGTGTTGTTAACAAATTTTATTATTAAATTCCAATTAAACAATTCAAATTTAAATGAATTTCATACAAATTTTGTTTTACATGAAAGATGTAGTAGAATTTTATATAAATTCGAAAAACAATATGGAATGGAATTCATTTTATAATTTTATTCGAACAAAATAAAATAAAATAAAAATTTATTAAAACAAAATAAAAATTTATTCAAACTCAATAAATTAGCAAAAACGTGAAATACAAAAAAAAAAACAAAATGATCATCATATCATCGTATCATTCATCCTATTATTGAACAAACAAATTAAGCCATAGATATGCATTTGATGAGAAAAAATATTATGCAAAAGGCTGTTAATTATTTTTTTGCAAAATTATTTTTCAATAATTTTAAACAAAATTCCCTAATTATACCGATTAAATTAAGAAAATTTTATTTTTTAACATATAATTTTTAAATACAAAAAGAAGGGAAACTTAACCTGGTAATAATAATGATTGTGTTAGAAAAATAGAAATTTTGTAATTACTTTAAATATATTGCGTTTTAAATATTACAAAGGTCATAGATGCTACTGTATTAAATACTGTCATAATCTTGTATGCAGTTTCTGGAATACTGTAGAGACTTTATATGCAGCTGTTTGTATGTGCAAAAACAATATCCACCATATAAATTATAGGAACAGAAGACTAATTAATTTTTTCATTTACAAATATCAACATTTTCATCTTACTGTATAAACTTTCCAATCTTTACTACTATTATTTTATTAAATTGTCTGAATTATATTCCAATTTTCGATTTCAACTGTTTAACAAATAAACATTATCATCGATAGTTTATTTATTTCATAATCAACTACTTTCATGATAGACTCTATTAATTAACCATTTATATCAAGTGAAAAATAAAGTGAATTATATTAAATGCTCATTTCCAATTATCGTTTTTATTTAATATTTTGTCTATTTATATTTCTTTTTTTTCGGATATCATTTCCATTTGATTTAATTTGTTCAAAATATTATTTCCTTAATTATCATGTTTATGCGTTTCATTTATCGATTGAAATTCGTGTCAGTTCCCGAGAAATACCAGTAAATGAAATTAATATTTGCCGTTTTTGATGTTATCCTTCCCACTTCTGCCATATTACTCGCAGTGTTCAAAGTTCACAATGTAAGCATAAAATGGTATACTATCAATTTATTGGCGGCATATTGTACTACTAATATTGGTCGTAATATCAATGATGAATTAAAATCATTCTTTCATTTCGGAGATTTCACATTAAAGATGTAAGTTTCTTTTATTATATTCTTAGATATTATAAATAAAATTAAGAATTTGAAAAATTTGAAAACTTTCCAAAATTATGCAAAATTTGATACTAACAATTATCCAGAAATGTTAGCATTTAATTTGATATATAATAATATATGACATATGTAT